TTCATGTTGCTTAAATTGGTTCAATTCATCTTGCATTGCACCAATCCAGTATTCATCAGTTAAGGCCTCCTTAACATTTCTTGGTTCAATTTTAGACACAAAGCAAGAGTTTGAGATGATTTCTCTAGATCTTGTAGTGACTCCACTATTTGGATCCCTTATAATGAGTTCTTTAGGATGATCTTTTTGAATTCTGATGGAAGGGATTTTGCTAGCTTCCTTGGATTCAGAGTCTGCTGTAGTGGTGTTAGGAAGGTCATTCTGTTGAGTTAGAGTCTCAAAGAATGTCTCAACATTACAAGGGACATCTGTTTCTTCATGATAATCATCAACTATGACATTTATTTATTCCATCATGACTTTGGTCCTGGAATTGAATACCCTATAAGCTCTGCTGTTGGAGGAGTATCCTAAAAATATACCTTCATCACTTTTAGGGTCCAGCTTTCTCCTTTGTTCATGATCTGCCAGAATATAGCATTTGCTGCCAAATACATGGAAGTACTTCACAGTTGGCTTTCTTCCTTTCCAGAGTTCATAAATAGTGGATGTTCAAGACACATGACAAGAGACATGTCTCTATTATCAGACTTTATGGTGAAGAAAAAATAAATTGTAGCCTATGGTGATCACAACAAAGGTAAAATACTCGGAAAATGTAGTATATGTAATCCCTCAACTATTACTATATCAAATGTTATATTAGTTGAAGACCTTAGACATAGCCTTCTTAGCATTAGTCAATTGTGTGACAATGGGTATAAGGTAACTTTTGCGAAATATTGTTGCATAATAGAACATAATGAAAAGAAGGATTGTATGTTTAATGGTGTGAGGGTTAATAACATCTATATACTAGACTTAAAAGAATTTTCCTTGAATAATGCTCAATATCTTGTCACCATGAGTGAAGATTCTTGGCTTTGGCATTGATGTTTAGCACATGTCAATTTTGATCTACTTAATAAAATAGTTTCAAAAGATTTAGTAATTGGTCTACCAAAAATAAAGTTTTAAAAAGATCACTTATGTAATGCATGTCAAAAGGGTAAGAAAACAAAAGTCTCTTTTAAATCTAAAAATATCGTTTCAACTTCGAGACCTCTTGAGCTCCTTCACATGGATTTGTTTGGACCTTCACAGACCAAAAGCATAGGTGGTAATTACTATGGTCTTGTTATTATAGACGATTACTCAATATTTTGTTGGACTATTTTCTTATGTAGAAAAGATGAAACATTCTCGGCTTTCACACGATTTCCCAAGTTATCTCAAAATAAATTGAGTTCTAAAATAGTTGTCATTCGAAGCGATCATGTACGTGAATTATAAAACCACATCTTTGAAGATTATTGTGATAAATTTGGTATTGAACATTACTTTTAATCTCCTAGAACTCCATGACAAAAATGTATTATAGAACGCAAAAATCATGTCTTAACGGAATTGGTAAGAACAATGCTCAATGATTATGGTCTACCAAAATATTTTTGGGCCGATTCCATTAGCACGGTGTATTATGTCTTGAATAAGATTCTTATTCTTTCTATACTTAACAAAACACCTTATGAACTTCTAAAAGGTAGAAAACCAAATGTATCATGTCTTCAGGTCTTTGGATGTAAATGTTTTGTTTTAAATAATGGGAAAGATAACCTTGGAAATTTTGACGCGAAAGCCGATGATGGTATCTTTCTTGGATACTCACAATCTAGTAAAACGTATAGAGTTTATAACAAAAGATTAGTTATTATTGAAGAGTCGGTTCATGTTACTTTTGATGAGACTTGCCCAAATATTGTTGGGAAAGGTATTTCTTTTCCCGATGTAGGTGCATCAATGGAAGACATACTCAAAGACACCGATAAAGGAATTGATCAATCTAAAACGGTAGAAATTAAGAAGGAGGAAGATGACAACCAATAAAATAATGAAGATGGATGTCAAAAAGATGATGATAGTCTTCCATTGGAGTGGAGAACCTCCAAGGATCATCCTATAGAAAACATTATTGGTGATATTAAAAAAGGGGTAACAACTCACTCTAAGATAAGTAATTTTTGTTATCACCATGATTTTGTGTGACAAGTCGAACCTAAAAAAGCTAAGGATGTCTTACTTTATGAGCATTGACTTATCGCCATGCAAGAAGAATTTAACCAATTTGAAAGAAATGACATTTAGAACCTTGTCCCTCATCCATAAAATCATCAAACTATAGGCACTCGATGGGTATTTAGGAATAAGCTTGACGAACATGGTGTGATAACAAGGATCTTGTGGCTCAAGGGGATAACCAAGAGGAAAAAATTGATTATGAGGAGACTTATGCTCCGGTTGCGCGGCTTGAGGCTATACGCCTTTTATTAGCATATGCATGTTCTAAGATCTTCAAGTTATATCCAATGAATGTTAAAAGTGCTTTCCTTAAGGGATACATAATTGATGAAGTGTATGTTTCACAACCTCCCAGTTTTGAAAATGATGAGTTTCCTAATCATGTTTTAAAACTAAAATATGCTTTGTATGGTCTTAAACAAGCCCCCAGGACATGGTATAACCGACTTAGTAAGTTTGTATTAGATCAAGGATACTCTAGAGAGAACGTAGACACTATACTCTTTATTAAACACTAAGGAAAACATCTTTTACTCGTTCAAATTTATGCAGGGAGAGTTTGAAATGAGTCTAATGGGAGAGTTGAACTACTTTCTCGAACTACAAATTAAGCAACTCGATGAAGGAACATTTGTATGTCAAACCAAGTATTGTCTCAAATTACTTAAAAAATTTAGTATGGACAGTGCAAAGGAAATTGACACACCTATGGCAACAAACGGTAACTTGGATAGAGATGAAAAGAGTAAGGATTTTAAGGTCAAAAGGTATAGAGGTATGATTGTGTCTCTTCTTTATCTTACCACATCTAAGCCCGATATTATATTTAGTGTTTGTACGTGTGCATGCTATTAATCCGTTCCTAAGGAACCACACTTAAAAGCGGTTAGGCACATTCTTAAATACCTTATTGGTACTTCTAAGTTTGGGCTTTGGTATTTCAGGGGAAACGATTATAGCCTTATTGGTTATTTTGATTTTGATTTTGTCGGTTGCAAATTGGATAGAAAAAGTACTAGTGGAACTTGTCACATTTTTTCAAAATCCTTGATTAGTTGACATTACAAAAAGAAAGTTTATGTTGCTTTGTCAACGGCCGGGGCAGAATACGTGGCAGCCGATAGTTGTTATGCTCAAATTTTGTGGCTTAAGCAATAACTACCCGACTTTGGTGTTGAAATTTCACGTATTTCAATCATGTGTGACAACAATAGTGCCATTAACCTAACTGAAAATCCTGTACTACGTTCTCGCACTAAACATATTGAGACACACCACCACTTCCTTCGTGATCATTGTCATACCCCAAAATTTTCCTACCTTTTCACTTTTGTCTAGCTTAGGCCTTGCATTTCACTTGCATCATTTTCACCAGGTCATTTTCATATCACTCACAAGGCATTGGTTCAAAGCATCAGTTGTCATGCCATCCGAGGTTTAATATTTGGTTTGAAGTTTCTTCATCAGATAAAGACAAATTTATTTGGTTCCTGAGAAGAGGACAGTGGAATTAAATTTTGAAGTACGGTAATCATGGATTTCTTTTTCATCAAGTACAAGGTCATTTCTCATTCAAATTCATCAAGATCTTGGATTAAGGTTTATTTCCCTATGTGTGATTAAAAATCAGAGTTTTTCAACATCATGCCTAAGCTAGGGTTTGGATCTCTCATGTGTTCAATATGGATAATCATTGATTCTAAAAGGATACATCATTAAAAAATTGCCTCTAATCTCAAAGCACAGTAAATATTTCATCATCACTGGTCCACATGTGCATCAATATGTATTGGAATGCGAGGAAATAGTGGTCTTGTAAATCGATTCAAAGCACATTGATCAGAAAGTCAACATTTTTAAGATCAAGTTCAAAATGTCATAACTTATTTTATATTCAATATTTTTGAGTGATTCTTTGAGCATTTGGTTCCTTTTGACGTCCTCTATAACTTATCTTTACCAGTCAAGGGCCAATTATGCATGTAAGATCATAAAAGTTCGAATACTTAAGAGGTCACTTTGTGAATTTTGACCTAATCTCAAGTAATTATGGCCGGACTTTCAAGGATCATAGCTTCCTTAATTTTCAACATCTTGAGATGATTATTTTAGCACATTGTCTTGAGGAATGTCATCTACAATTTTTCTTTAGGAATCAAGGTCAAATTGTGCTTGGGGGGGGGGGGGGGGGTCACGAAATTTAAAAAAGCGTTACAGTGATCATTCAAAGGCCTTTAGGTTTGGTTCCATTTATTATGCTCACATGATGCGAGGAGAATTTCGTTCGAGTGACATGATTTGAATTCAAGGTTGTTGGAAAAAGAATCCATTTAGAATACTAGGACTTTTTCATCGTGTGAATTCAAAATTTTAACTATATGGAAGTTATCAAAAAGGCTCATTCAAGATTAAAATCATTCCTCACATTCCATTATTCAAGAATTTTTAAGGCATGATATTTCAAGGTCATCAAATATTATTCAAGACATGATATTAATTCCAAAAGAAATGATTATTTGGAAACTTTCCATCAAGTATTGATTCAAGGAAAGTTATGCAAATTCAAGCTATATTCAATCAAATTGCTTCATTCAAGATCCATTCAAGTGTTTTCAAGAGAAAGTTTTTTTTTTCATATTCATTCATGATTCAAGTTTCAAGATACATTCACAAAATACAAGAGCAATTAAAAGTTACATGAAAACATTGCAAATCCTAAAGAACCTATGCTTTTAATCCTAATCTTCAAGCCTAAACACCAAGTTCAACTTTCATGCTCAATCTTAAAAGTTTCCTTACCTTGCCTTGCTTCATTATTTCATCTATCTTTTTTATAAAACCAGTTCATGGCAGCCCGACATCCAATACAATCCAAAATTTTGCTATTGCAATGCTGCTAAACTGTCAACAAACCCCAAAAACCTGTTCCAAACAGAGGAAAGCCTTGTTGCTGCCCTGTCCACAAAATAAAAAAACCCATGCTACTAATGTCCAAAGTTTGCACAAAACCAGCCATAAATTATATCAAAATAATCAAAACAAAAACTGTATTTAAAAGCTCCAAAGTCAGCATACCAAATATGTTCAAATGATATTCATATTCCCTCCAAAACCTCATCTGCTCCTCTATAAAAGGGGGAAGTTTGTTCAACACAGGGATAGAGAAAATCACGAGAGAAAGGGAGTTTTGTTCAACACAACCAAGAAACACAGAAAATAGAGAGAAGAAAAGATACAAAAACTAAGCTCAGAAATTGGAAACAGATCTTCTTCAAAAATCTGCTCCCACAACCTTTCTCATATCCTCCTACAACAAGCTTAGGTCTGTAATACTCCTTATCATCACCAACAAAAGTTATGTAACAAATTAAACTCTCTACATCGTTCCTCAATATCAATACAACCTACAGCTCACAAATATTCAATACAAAACCTTCCTCCAACTTCCATTTTAACATTAAATCCTCCATTCCAAGAGCTTCATTTACCTGCAAAATCGCACCTGCACAGAAACAAATCCACAAAGCATTATCATCAATTAGTGGAAACCTCCAAACTCTAGAACAATAACCAGCTCTTATTCCCACCATACCTTTACTCAACATACCCCACCTTCTTTTTTTATCCTTCAACATCGTACACGCCTCTACAACAGCACAACTCCATCAACTTGCACCAAAACCTGCAACATTCATTAGTGAAAACCCTCAACAATGCATACCAAACACAACCAGACCTTTATTACCGGTCAGCAGCAACAATTACACAACTACCTGCAAATCAAGTTCATTCTCGCAGACCTGCATTATAGACATGCATAAGCAGCAGCTCTCTGACAATTACAATAATAGTTTCGATGCAACCTGTAAAAGAGTTTCAAAACACCAATTCAACACAACAATATTTTTTCAGAATCTCAGAAGAAGAAGAAGGTACAAAGGAGACTCATTAGGATTTCTTATACTCACTTTCTTGGAAAGCTTCATCGGGGAGACTCCGACAGGTACTGTTTCTTTCACCTTTTTTATAACTCCATGTTGTTGTCTTTAGATGAATTGTTGTTGTTGTTTGATAATCAAACGATAATTGCTTGTTTGTTGAAACCACAACCGGGATTGTTGTTTTTGTTCTTGTTGGGAGCATATAAAAAAGAAACTAAGTCGTTGTTGATTGACTGTTAGAGGATCAGAACCGTGAGAGGGATGGAGTTTTTGTTGTTTGATAGCTGATCGTGAGGGGGAATCGAGTTGAAAGAATGGAGGTGAATCAAAAAAATAGAGAAATAAATAGTAGAAGCATGTTTGGTGAGAAGAAGAGATATTCATCGTTGTTGTTTATCGAAAAGAGAGAGAGGCTATGAGAATAGAAAACGAGTTTGAGAAACAAAGATATGGAGGAAGAAGGAAAACCAAAGAAATAAGTGTGAGGTCAGTGAGAGTGATTTGCATTTTTCCTTTATTTTTTCCTTTAAATTATGACTTATTATTCTTTCATTGGGAATTAAAAATTAATTGCAACTTTTCCTCTCCCCAAGTATCACCAGCGGTGCCATTTCTCAATTAAGGTTTTCCACAACCCTTTCTTTACCTTACCCAAACCGGGTCGGTCCATTGGAGCCTGTTAACCCAATTATATTCTATCATCACCCTTTTACTTCAATTAAAGCATGGATATAAACAAAAAAAAACAAGTAGTTCAAGGGCTAAGTATTATCAAAGGGGAGCGAGTTTGATCCTAGGTTCCTATTTTTTAGTTTTAGGTCTTTCTCTTTTATTTTGTAGACTTATTTCATTTAAATTTCATAAAAATACAAAAAAAATTATTAAATTAAGTTTATAATTATTTTTCCCCTTTATATAAATACCAAAAAATATATATTAGTATTATTTAGTCTCGTTGTTTTACTTATTTTTAAATTGTTAATTATTTAATTATTTAAATTGATATTCTAATTAATTTCCATTTTTTTTATCATTTAGCCTATATATTTTTGTTTGTCTATTCCAAGAGAAATGATTATATTTTTTGACTTCATGTCATCAAATATATCTGATACGATTGTGCGAAACCACTTTATACATTTTTTTAGGTTTTGCTAATCTAAAGACAAATCTCCTAAAAAAAATCAAATTTTTAACTTAAATTCATTTAAGGTAAAACTTCGACACTAGGTCATCGCATCTTCAAGATCTCATCCCCACACTTATTTAGCAACAAACCAATTTTAACCAAAAAATAGATATTTCAAAAGGTTCCTATAGGATACTATAGATACATAGGGTGCTAGTACCTTCCCTTTGTATAACCAACCCCTGAACCTTCGATCTCTTTCAAATGCATTGTATTTTTCTTTACTTTTTAGTATTATTCAGACTTTGCATATTTATAGGTCTTATTTCGCACTTGTCCCTTTTCCCTTGGAAATAATAAAGCGCGGTGACAACTCTTACTTTTGCGAGTCAAGTTAATTAAATAGCTTGATCTCTGATTTTCACCGCTACAACGTCGGCCACTAAAAAAACACCAACAAACCAATATTTTCTAGAAGAACTACAGTGTTCTGATTCCTTCATGAGATACATAGGAAAAGGGTTGAGAGACCCTCATGAATGCACTAATAAAATCATTTCATTTCTCTTAGCAAGTATAGTTTTAGATAGACGCACCCTTAGAAACAAACAATCGAAATAGATCTCGTTGAGTACAACAGGTGTCAGGGGTGCTAATACCTTCTCCTCACATAATCGACTTTCGTACCCTCTCTTTTTGTTGTAAGACCATCTTATCCATCCTGTTGGGGTTTTCTCGATATTGCCCCTTCCTTCTGGATAAATAAACTTCGGTGGCGGCTCTGTGTTTTTTGCCAGTCGCTTCAATCATGTTTAAAAAAGGGATGTTGTGTTTGAGCATGTTAATAATAAAAATCAACTTGACGATATTTTTACTAAACCTCTCGCAACCAAACCTTTTATCAACATACGTGGGAAATTGGGGATCATTGATATCTCCAATGTTACTTAATTCTTTCCTGTTGCTTGAACTTTATATTTTCAATCTAACTTTTTTTGAGTATTTTACATCATGTGAGTGCAAATTCCATTTCATCAAGAATGGGGTAATATCGTTTCAATTTCTCCTTGAAAGTAAGATTTTCCTTAATGCATATTACTTATTTACTTCAAAAAATGTTTGATATTTTCTCAAATGGTGAAAACCATGAATGTTCATTTCCAAAAATCTTTGATTAATAACTAGTGTGCATTCTAATCTCTATGCTTATAATGACTTCATGTAATAATTATTTCATATTTGTAAAAGTTTGTTCTTGTTGTGGAAGCATGTGTTATTTTTTCTCTTTCACTTATGCTTGAAGTAGTTCTATGCATGATATTTGTAATATGTGTTTCTTGTTATCTTGGCTACATGGTACGAAAAACGCCTTCATTTTGGTTTTAGTAGAGACATATTCTTGTCACTATGCTAGACACATGTGTGAGCGGCATCGGGAGTACCACTATGATGTGTTACTTGATCGTGACTCTATAAAAGAAACTTGACATATTTGATATTTCCTGCTTGTTTATTCTTTGTGAATTACATTACATTTGTTGCAATGTTGTTTGCTGGTTATTTAAAATTTCGCATCATTACATATATATGTGGATATGTGATTGTTTCTCTTCTATGCAAAATAACCTCTAAGTGATATATATGTATTGTTACGTAACTATGATAATCCTCACGATTTACTATCTTTATTTTTTATGTTTTCAAAAGGGGAGAAGCATATGTGAGACGAAGTTAGAAAGCACAAAGTCAGGGGGAGCCTTCAATAAATACAAGAAATGCATCGTCACAAGTTTTGCCATCATAAGAAAGGGGGAGTATGTGAGTACAACTTCATCATTAGATGTTTTTCATGATGTCAAAACTGGGAAAAGCTAGCACTTCAGTACATTGGATGGTATCTCTATGTCTTGTGGAACTCCTATGCATTAGAGGTCTTAGGAATCATTAAAAAGAATTTTGAAATTGATCCAAGTCATCAAAAACAAGTTTCTGCATAATGTTTTATTGCATGTGTCGACACATTCGTTTTTCAGGTCGACACATACAACTCAATTTTCAAGTCTATAGCCTCTTGAAGTATCAGGTCGACACATACATTACATATGTCGACACATACTGAAGCATTTCTAAAATTGCATAAATTCTTATTTTATGTGTCGACACATATAATTTATAGGTCAATACATTTGCTATTGGTTTAAAGCTTGTAGCCTATGACTTGTTTCGGTCTATACATACTTTCTTTCAGGTCGACACATAAAACTTAAACTTAACATATGGGTCGACACATACGATATATAGGTTGACACATACTGATTGTTTTGGTCAATTTTGTAAATCTTTTTAATTCCAAATAAGTCCTTTTGCCCTAAATTTCCAAAACCATAAATACATCATTCATGATTCATTCATAACTTGATGATACCATATAATTATCCTACATTTTCTCTTTATCTTCAACCTCCAACCTATGCATACACACTAACATTCCATTGTAACGATCTTTTGTTGGGGTTCCATCTAGAAGGGTTTGATAACGTCCGATTAGGTTCTTGTGTAGCCGAAGATATTGGGTTGTGGTCTGTAGGTGTCTTCATCCGGAAAAACTGCCAGTTTGTCCTCCAAGATCATTGATTGATTTAGGGGTTTTTATGCAAGACGTTCAAGAGGTAATTGTGGTCATGTGATGTCCTTTGGAGATAGAGAACTCAAGGGATCCTTTGGAGATAAAGAACGCAAAGGAAGTAGCGAGAGAACGGAGGATTACAATTGAAGTCTTGTGTTGAAATAGTTGACATTGACGGTGCACAAAAGCTTTGGGCATAAAGTATGCAAAGGAGTAGCAATATCTAAATTGTCAATTTGCATTTATTGTGTCTTGATATTTCTCAAGATTAAAAGAGGAGAAGGGGTTGAATCAACAATAAGCTTTGGGTTTGTGGAGTTTCTCTTGAACACTTCTCTTGTATAAACTTTTTTTCATAGTAAGAATTATCCTAATTCCATTGGAATTAGGCACATACGTACACACATGCGAGGACAAAAGTGAGAAACTGTGAAGACAAATCCTCGCGTGTCTTTTCTTATTGCTTTTACTTTCTTTAATATTCATCAATAAATTTGTCAAATAGCATCGTGTTATCAATTGAATTGTACGGAATTTTCTAGACTTTTTTTTATTTACATCAAGTGTTAATATTGCTTATAATCACTTTTGAATATAAGTGCTTTTGTGTATCAACACAACTTAAAGGAAAATTATGAAAATTCACTTGCACAACAAGTGTTTGATAAATTGATTTTGTTTGTTCTTTTGAATATTGCCATCGGAAATAGCTTTACTAGCAAATTGCTATAACTATTAAATAAGTTGTAAAGTGATTCAAGCATATTAATTAAATTGTCATTATTATTATATACTCTATTTGTTCTTAAGTTTGCATATCCGAGTTTCCAATGACGTCCGTAAAGATGAATTAATTAAAAAAAAAAACACTTCCACTCAAACTCTTAGAAAACTAATTTTTCAAAATCAGAATTTTCTAGAATTTTATTGGGTATCAATTCACCCCCTTCTCTAGATACATTATTTCCGTCTAATAAATTATCATGTATATCATAGCATTCAGTAATGCATTAAAAGCAACCCAATCCCCTTCCTTTGCAAAGGTTGTTGCCTTCCTTATTAGAAACTTCAGAGAGAGTCCACATATATGCTCAAATAAAGGGCGTTAGCGATCAACTCAAATCGAACAAATTCTAGAACACTAATGAAAGCTATGTAATCTATAAACTTAATCTTCATGAAGTAAGCATACTCCTCCTAGGCAGGAGCGAGTTGATAATCTTGAAACGAGAAGCACCGTAACTGATTATCATAGAACTGTAGGAGGCTTTCAATGGCTACTGTATCAATCTTCATGTTTAGCAGGTATATAAGATCACCATATGTCTCTTTGAAAATCTCTTGGTTCTTGTCAACAACATACACACTCAAAATCCTTAACGGTACCAGGTCGACTTTAGGAAACTTGTAACTGGAGGTACCCTTGGTATCCCTCTTGCTTGAACTT